CTCTTCTTTCTCTATTGTATATCTAATGGAGGTTTAACCTATACAGGTTGCAATGACTCATCCCATGGCTGTCACCAACTGCAACATTGATATGGAGAGTTTGATTTCTGATCAGAATAGAAGTATTGCTACACTTGCCATCACCACACTCCTGAAAACAGGGAATGAATCTAGTGTGGAACGCTTGATAAAGCAGATTACTAATTTCATGTCAGATATTGCCGATGAGTTCAAAATTGTAGTCGTGGATGCCATAAGATTATTGTGTTTGAAATTTCCACTGAAGTATCGATCATTGTAAGTGAAGTTTTAGGTTGTGTTATTTGTAGTTTTGGTCAGTAGCATTGCTATCATTTCTAACCACTTCAAGATATCAATATTATTTTTGCATCACGTGGCATATGGTAAATCTTCCTCGCCCTTTTCTTTTGTAGAATGAACTTCTTAAGCAACACTCTTAGGGAAGAAGGTGGATTCGAATATAAAAGGGCGATTGTAGATTCTATTGTAACCATTATCAGAGATATTCCAGATGCAAAGGAAAATGGATTGCTCCATCTTTGTGAGTTCATCGAAGATTGTGAATTCACGTACCTTTCAACACAGGTACGTACTATTTTTATCTCCATCTTTAACCTGGAATTGTAACTGCAATTGTTTACAAATTGATTTATTATATCTAATTATTTCCTGGGAACTGAAGGGCCAAACACCTCTGATCCGATCCTAGCAGGTATATCCGGTATATATATAACCGTGTGCATTTGGAGAATGCAACTGTTCGAGCTGCTGCTGTTTGCACACTTGCAAAGTTTGGGTTTATGGTTGAAGCGTTGAAGGTAGAGCTATCTAATTAAGCATCGTTATTATTTATTATCCTCGGTTGATGACGAGGTTTGTGTGTAGTCCTATTGAAAAGCTGCCTTCTAGTTATTGGTTGCGGTAGTAAATATGTGGATATCTGTATGTCTCGTTGCGTACCAATTGCATCAGTAAGCATAGGTTTCTGCTTATGCATGCAGTTGGAGCATTGGTTAGGACAAAAACTGCTGTTTAGTGATGCTTTCGATTTGAGTTTCGACCTCTATTTTATGTTCAGGTCCGTGATAGAGTGACACTCTTTTTGAGTACCCTTGGTAATGATGGCCTTGTTGACACTGACAAAGATAGCAAAGCATTTCTATTTGGTTCCCTGGATGCCCCTGTTTTCAACATGGAGACAAGTCTGAAAAACTACGTGAGTTTTTCTTCTCTTCACCTACTTGTTAGGACGCCAGTCTTCTTTTTTCTGTTTACTCTTATTCACTTGTCCTGATTGGTTAAACGTGTTTCATTCTCAGTCTTCTTCCCCTGTGGAGCGGAAACCGAATACGCAGTCAATGTTGTAAAGCATATCTTCGATAATGACGTTGTGTTTCAGTATAACTGCACAAACACAGTACCAGAGCAATTGTTGGAGAGGGTAATGAGCATGATATATCAGCTGGAAGCCACCGAAAGACTTTTCTCCTTGACAGTTCCTATACTCCCTTGTTTTGCAGGTCAATGTCATTGTAGATGCTTCAGAAGCAGAGAATTATCTTCGAAGCCAATAATCTCGCTCCCATACGATTCCCCTGGTCAGGCCTTTGTGGCGTTTGAGAAGCCAGAAGGAGCCCCGGCCATTGGAAAGTTCTCAAACACATTGACTTTCATTGTTAAGGAGGTACACACATGATTTATATGCTTTCTCTTTCATCCACTTTTTAGTTGACCGACTTAAGTAATCACATGATCGGTTCTTCACATTGGTATGGATAGGTTGATGCAAACACAGGTGAACCAAATGACGATGGTTGATAACACAGGTTTTAACCCTAAATAAC